GGAAAGGATTCAGGCATCTTGGAAGGAAGGTCAAGCGTTTGATTTTCAAACTTTGGGGCAGAATCGATCGGGAAAGTTGCTAATCATCATGGATATTTAGAGAATCCAGGTGAAAGGATCGAGGTTTTCGCGGTTTGAGAACGCACGATTGCTTGTTGTAACGGATTTAATGCAGATGAGACGTTTTGGCTGGTACATGTTTTCGAGGGTCATTATTAAGGGCTGCTAGGTTAACTAAAGGATTGACATGTGGTAGGACGTGCAGGATAATTCAGATCGTGCGATCGTGCTTCATAAATACGCTTAATGGATGAAATATTTGATGTTTTTCATTATCCTTTAGTTACCTTTTAGGGTTTGATTTCACTTCTTCATGGTTGAAATTCGGCTAAGGAGTTCTAGGCCAAAGACCTCAGAAGTGAGGGGGCAATGTTTGGGCCCAAAATAATATTATTAGGTTGAGCGTAGGTTTATGTTCGGCCCAAAGCTTTTCCAAACGTACTATGGGCTATCTAGTGGCCACAAGCCACTTAGTTAGGGTGGTCGAGTCCTATTGCAAGGAGTGATTTGGATAAGAACGGATGTGTCGAAGTCATAGTGCGATAAGGAGTCTCAATGGAGTAAGGACGCTGAGATTTGAGAAATGAAGGTGGCCGGATAAAGAGTTTGGTTCAAAGTCCTAGTAAGAGTAGGATTGGCCGAGCCCTAATTGGACTAAAATGAAGAATCCTAATCCGAGTATAGTTCTGATTCCGCCAAGGTGAGATTGGCTGTTATAAATAGGAGGGGTGCATCATTCGAGGCCCCTCAAATTCAACACACAAATTGCGCTGAGCAAACCTCTCAAACATTTATTTTCTTTTTCCGCCAACACACCTTCAGTTTGGATAAACAGCACTGTGAAGACAACCGGCGAACATCTTCAGTTTGGATAAACAGCACTGTTGTCGTAGAATCAGCCGATCGAGGAGCACCTTCAGTTTGTATAAAGAGCACTGCATCGAGGCCGACTGGTTACCTATCCAAGTCTTGGTCGAGAAGGGTTTCCGAATCCTTATAGGTAGAGGTCATCTTATTAGCCTTCTCGACGAACTAAGGTTTTACAAGTTACTACATTCGGCACATTAAACGTCGAGTGATTTTATGATTGGATACTCACAAGAAAGTTTTAGAGTTCGGCATTCTGACGGTCGAACCACATTTACCATCAAGACATACATCTCTTTTGAGTACCTATGTTCGTATAGTTTGGAGCCGGTTCGATATGCTTATACTCTTACGAATATAATCACCATGACCGAATCCGGCGCAGACGATTCGTGAACTTCGCAAAACTAGTAGCCTTGTCTTCAAACTTGAGAACCCGAAGGCCGAGACGTGTTCCTTCCTCGATCGCAGTTGTAAGATCAAGAATTCAGTAGTGCGTTCAACGCAACATGAACAAATTTTACTCCTCAGTCGAGCTCGGCCGACGAGTTGGCATGGCTCGCATCAACCGAATAATTAGTTACTCGGCCTACGCGCCACCTAGGCTTTGTAGTTTTTAGGGTCAACAATAATGCAGGGGTATTCTCGTTATATAAACAGTGTTTTTTTAATAATTAATTCTTTTTGTACAATTTTTTTTTGATAATTAGTACCTCACAATAGACTAGTAATAATGTTATTTAATCAGTTGTTTATTAAATATTATTTTCTCTATTTTTAAACACATTCAAAATACCTTAAGAGAAGTGTGATGCCGGTTATAAAAAAAGTCTTTCGCACTAGTATAATAATGTGATTCAATTAGTTGTCAAATTATTATTATTTTTTTTTTTTTTGAACAAGCAATATTATCTACACTAAGGGAGAGGGGGTGGACTTAGCCTCACAATGGGCTAGCAATACTATGATTCAATTAGTTGTTTATTAAATATTATTTTCTCTATTTTTAAACACATTCAAAACATCTTAAGAGGTGCGTAGTGCCAGTTTTAAAAATAGTCTTTCACACGCACATAATAAAGTGATTCAATTAGTTGTCAAATGATTGTTTTTTTTTTTTCCGAACAAATGATATTATCTACACTAAGGGGGAAGGGGATGGGCTTAGCCTCATAATAGGCTAGCAATAATGTGATTCAATTAGTTGTTTATTAAATATTATTTTCACTATTTTTAAACACGTTCAAAACATTTTAAGAGATGCATACCGCCGGTGAAAAAAAAAGGTCTTTCGCACGCACATAATAATGTGATTCAATAAGTTGTTTATTAAATATTATTTTTTCTATTTTTAAACACTTAAGGAGTGCGTAGTGCTAGTTATAAAAAATGTCTTTCATATGAGCATAATAATGTGATTCAATTAGTTGTCAAATAATTTTTTTTTTTTTTGAACAAATGATGTTATCTACACTAAGGGGGGAGGGGGTGGGCTTAGTCTCACAATGTGCTAGCAATAATGTGATTAAATCAATTGTTTATTAAATATTATTTTCTCTATTCTTAATGTAAATTCAATAGAATGTAGATGAAAATTGAAAGACCAATTTTATTATGTGGATTGAGCTGCTTTAATTGGTTTATGAGGGGTTTCTTCTAGCATGATCTAATATTATTCATTTACTTCAAATATTTGACTTTCTTTTTGTCATAAAAAAATTATTGAAGCAATTCACACATATAAATACATTTAAAACGAGTAAGTCGTGCCTAGCATGTTGTGATTCAAAAAATGCATTTTGCACGTACGTGAGCGCGTGCATAAAGGCTAGTATACATATATATGAACAAAAAGTGAGATCGAGCCCATGACTATCCCCATTTTCTAAAAAAATAGAGATTCTTTTCCTTAAACCGATCCCAGAAAGACTAAAAAAAAAAAATCACGTATTGGTCCGGGCAAACGGATGTCCGTTATGAAGACAACAACTACTCCTAATGGAACACTTACCTTCCTCCATTGCACACACACAGCTAGTTGAAATGTGTAATGACAATGAGAAGACTGAAAGCGAGATTGTAGGCGAGTTGGTGAACGCGGATCGCAATTCATCATAGTAAATCCGCCTTGTGATTGGTTCGCAGAGACCAAGTCAAACTTTCAATCAAAACTATAAATAGATAGGTGGTGGCATATAGTCAAGATATATGCCCCCTATGCGGGTCCTAAGAAATCCTGCCTTTAAGGGCATGCACATTATGTCTATATATAAGACATATGTAGGACGATGAGGTGTAAAATGAAGGTGTCTGCCGCTTTCTGAAATATCTCCCGGTTCTCCGTTGTGCTTTTGGTGTGTAACAGCGACCGTATTTCAACGGCCTATGTATCCTTGAGTTGAATGTTGCATAAATAACATTTTTCATGTTTTCATCATCTACACAAGTTTCATATCTTTGACGCCTACCAACACCATCCACTACTTAATTATATATATACTTTAATCTATACTAGTTATACAACATATTGAAAACATCAAATACAAACAAAAGTTAAGTTTTTTTTTTTCTAAGTTACAGTTGCGATCCTAAACTGTTTTCTTCAACAAAAAAAAATGTCACAAAATCACCCAATCTGCCTAGACTCACCTAGGTCTAGTTAACCCCACTCATCCTATTTATGTTCACATAGGTAGGTTAGACGGGCACCTAAGTAGGTTTAGGCATACAAGACGAGTGCCTAACCAGTCTAGACACTCATTCTAAATTTTTAATTGCTTAAAAATTAATTATAGCAGTGATCAATGCCTAACACCTAGACAAAGCTTCTCTCAGCATCTAATCATTTTTCTCTCCCTTATTCATTCCAGATTTCCAAAGCTTATATTTCTCCTTCCAAATGCACTTTTGTCACAACTTAAACAGTAATTGCTCCCTCTCTCTCTCTCTCTCTCTCTCTCTCTCCCCTATGTATGTGTGCTCTTTCCAACTTAACAGCATCTGATCATTTTTCTCTCCCTTGTTCATTCCAGATTTTCAAAGCTTAGTTTCTCCTTCCAAATGCACTTCTTCACAACTTAACAGAATTTGCTCCCTCTCCCTCCCTTGTGTATGTGTGCTCTTCCCAAAACCAATTTTTTATAGCTTGGATATCCATTTCGCACGAGAGATTTTTTTAATGTATAGAAAATACGGTTGCATCTCGAAATGAAGAAAAAAGCACTAAAAGACTATGCTTTTGGAGGAGGATAGGCATTTGGGATCGTTGTCGCTAGAGATTGAACTTAGTGCTAGGCTTCCGCTTTTGGTCTGGGCCAGGTGATGAAACTGAATGTACTTTGGTTAGTCATTTTGCTTGTATCGACTTCCATCTATCTCTCTGTCCCTGGTCCTTTCAAGCATAAAATAAAACCAGTTTGATACAAGTGTCATAATACAAATGAATTTTTTTTTTATCTATTTCCTAATATAATGAAACTTGATACACTGAGTCCTGTTTTTGGTACATAAAAAAATCTCTCCGGTCTTACGTATTCAATTGAAAAGAAAACACAAAAGAAAAAGGAAAAGAAAGAGAGAAAAAGAATCAAAGAAAAAGAAAAAGATATATGAAGTGGGGGAAGGAAAAGGATCCTAGCCGGATTCTTTTCTTAGGGATCTCGGAGATTTCGTGATCGTGATCATGATCGTTCATCGTATATCGTGTGGTCAGAAATCATTTAAAATTTAAAATATAAAATTAAATATAAATAATACTTAACAAAAACTGACCGTACGATATATGATGAACGGCTACAATCATAGGAGCCTCGAAATTTCCAAAAAAAAAATCCGGTGAGGATCCCTTTCGGTGGGGGTTTGGGGGGGGAGGGGGGGAGGATATCCATGTTCATCATTCTTTATACTTTTTCCATGAATCCTTCTCGAAAAGCTGCAAAATGTTGCACGGAGCTGCCACGTAGCACATATGTTGTGGGTATTTCATTTTGACGTGGCAGTGCAACCCCCCACCCACCCCAAAGACCTCCACCTTACCCAACTACATAAATACCCTCTCTTGTGCCCCCTTGGCCCTTCACTTGCTCTCTCATATGCTTCTCTCTCTAATCTCTCTCTAAGTCCTAAGTTCTAGACATATGCCCCTATTATTACTTCAAATAACTATTAACTAAGAAACTATATATACAGTAGCAGCAGAGATGGATTTTAATGGTGGAGATCAAACTCCCAACGGATCAGATCACTCACCGGATCACTTGCCCTCCTTAATCTCTTCCTCCAATTGCTTTCCCATCACTCTCAAGGTAACAATTAACAATATTCGCAACTGCATGTCACGGTTGACCAATATTTGAAATTAACTTGACTCTACCTTAGCTAGTTACCTATTTTCACACCGGAGGAACAATAACCAGAGCAACAACCCCAACAGTTTGGAAGATATCTTCAGAAAAGATTCTTATACAACATGTCCATCTTCCTATGCACCACGGGGTCTACGAAACTTATGGACAGCCATACTTCCTTCTTTTATCTAAAGACGAAAGAGAAAATACAACAATAAAAGTTAACTTTTATTAAATAACCATATGTAGTTTGATTTAAAATCGAGTTGACGACAATTTTCTTGACTGTACGTACTAGTGCTTAGTTCACATACAAATATATATGTATGCTGCTTATGATGATGATGATGGTGATGATGCAGTTCGTGGACGTGTGTTACAAAGTGAAGATAGACAACAAATCACAGTACAGAGAATGTTTGTTTGGTCACAAGGACAAACCCGGACAAGAAGAACAAGAACGGACTATTCTGCATGGAATCACTGGAATGGCGTCCTCCGGAGAAATCCTAGCCATTCTCGGCCCATCAGGAAGCGGGAAATCAACGCTCCTCAACGCCCTTGCCGGCAGGCTCAACCGCAAACATCAGGGCACCGTCCTTGCCAACGGTCGAGCCCTTACCAAAACCGTCCTCCGTCGGACCGGCTTCGTCCCTCAGGACGACGTTCTCTACCCTCACCTCACCGTCCGCGAAACCCTCGTCTTCTGCGCCCTCCTCCGGCTCCCTCGCACCCTCTCCAAAAAGGAAAAAGTCTCCGCCGCCGAGTCCGTCATTTCAGAGCTCGGCTTGCACAAGTGCAAGAACACCATAATCGGCAACACCTTCGTACGTGGCGTGTCGGGAGGGGAAAGGAAGAGGGTGAGCATAGCGCACGAGGTGCTGATGAATCCAAGCTTACTGATTCTGGACGAGCCGACGTCGGGTCTGGACTCAACGGCGGCGCACCGGCTGCTAAGCACGCTGGGGTCGCTGGCTCACAAGGGGAAGACGATCGTGACGTCGATACACCAGCCCTCGAGTCGAGTGTATCAGATGTTGGACTCGGTGTTGGTGCTGTGCGACGGAAGGTGTTTGTATTTTGGGAAGGGGAGTGAGGCCATCAACTACTTTGGATCTATTGGCTTCGCGCCGGCTTTCCCCATGAACCCTGCTGACTTCCTCCTTGATCTCGCTAATGGTATGTCACCTTTTCCTACCTTTTAATTATTATTTAAGTTAAATTAATTTCCTAGCTTACTTAAATTCTGCCAAAATCTGATGTTTTGTTTTTTATTCTTCAACTCAACAAATGTTGGTGTGTAACTAAGATTTGAATAATGTTTTCTAAACTAAATTTGCAAATTAAATAATGTGTCATCAATAAAAAATAAGTATACTAATTAACAATTGAGTAATAATCCATCATCAACTTCCACGTCATTTTGATTCGAAACATTTCTTCATCTATTTGCAAGCTAGCTCCCTCACTTGTGAACAACTAAATTGTGTTCGACATAAAATATGTATGGTCATTAGAGTTCCTAAACCTAGCGCTAATATCATAAATAAAGTTATGATTTCAACATAGAAATAATTGGTTATACTGGAATAGTGGACAAATAGAATGGTGATTGGGGTGATCCAAACATTCAAAGTCAGTCTCAGTCAGGAGTCGTAGAGAGAGACCAGACATATATATGTGGGGCAATTACTTCTCCATACTTAGGATGTGAGTTACTGCTGTGGATCGATGTACTGATTGAATGTGTTATGGACTTGTATCATGGTTATATATTATATGGTATGGGTGCTGGGTCGCTACATTCTCATGGCTGCGTCCTACTTATCGAGGGTGTCACGGCGCATTGATCATTAACTGCCACGAGTCCACAACTTAGGTTGTCAAGTAGCTATTTGTGCTTAATTACTAGTCTTCTTTAGAGGAAGAAGCTATTTGTGCTTAATTACTAGTCTTCTTTAGAGGAAGACAAGGCATTTTTTAATTCTTAATCTTGATTTTCGAGTCTCAATTACCGTTACCCTTGTTAATAAACAGACATTTAGCAAGGGCAAATCCAGATTAAATACCAATTTTAATAAAGAATTTAAAAACACAAAAACCAATTTTAAGAAAACGACCAATTCCTTCTCATTTGATTTGGATCAAGTCACAAAATATAGGCAAATACTCTTATAAGCATAGGAACATTTATTTCCTTTCCTATGCACATGACCTACATACCACTGATTCTTTTGCCAGAAATTGTCGCCAACAACAATCATTGGGGCCGAAAATATTTTCATGTCACCGAAACAGTTCAAGTCACTTTTTAACAGTAACTTAAAAAAAAAAACAATATGTGCGACATTTTCATGTGCAATTATGTTTTTTCGTGTTGGTCCATTTTTCTTTTTTTACTTGTATACACAATAAAATTATAAAATTTATGGGAAAATTTATTACTTAATATGTTTCTTTAATATCATTGTTGGATATTGACATTGAGACTAGAAAGTTTGATTGACAGGTCTCTAAAATTTGATTGTCTGTTCTTCAAAAATTTGTTCAACCAATCAAAGGAAAAAATTATCCAGTCGAAAAATGGGATAGAATTGAATGGCAATCGTGTAATTATATTGTATTATTTTAATATTTTATACAATTGTTTTGATTGATTTTTTTAGTTGTCCCTATTCTAAAACATGTTAGTTAAAAGTTTTCTTAGTATTGGTATTTAACTAAAATATCCCTATTTAGTATTGGAAATTAATGGTGGTCATATTAAAAATGCTTTAGTGCTCTCCACGTGTCTGTTTTTCTTTAGACTAGCTGGATGATCTTTTCTTGAATTGGAGAGCTCGATCACTACTCTTGCCACACACAGATTTAGATCCTCTTCGAATCCCTTCATTCGGGATCATAGAGACCAATGCATCATAACCGTTCATCAAAGATTATATGATCATTATTTTTTTTATATCTTTCACATAAAACGAGATTACTTTACTTTTAAAAATATAAAAAGTATTTAATTGTGACCGTACGATATTTGATGAACGGTTATGATACATTGATTCCCGGGATCTCCAGTAAAAGAATCCGAAGAAGATCTAAATCCCGCATACACAATCTCTCTCTCTCCCTAATGTTTTCTTAATGTTTTGACCTTTGACTGGTACCAGAAAAAGACTCTTTGTTTATTTAATCCTCACTGTCATCCTTTTAATAATAAATTAAACGTGTATAGAAACTTACCCATTGTATTATTAGAATCTGCTATTACGGTAAGCTCATTAGTTGGTTCTATGCAAATCATTCTATTTTTGTTTCAAAAATTAAAATAAAGACAAATCATTAGCAGGTGGGGAAGGATAATGCTTTATGCGGTGCAGAACCACGCAAAAATGGTTTTCATTGATGGATTTTGACTTGCAAAGTATTCCTAATTTAGTAGGAGGCGGATTAAAGAGGGAGACATATGCGGTATGGGATAGTGTGCTGAGGAACGAAATAATATAGTATGCAGAGTGGGATGTTAGCCACTACCACCATATATCATGTATCCTTTATTTCAACAGGGATTCAATTATCTACTTTATGGGCTACACGTCTTAATTTGGACCGTCCACTGAATCCCATTACTTGAATTCCCAATCAAGTTGACCTGTCTTGTTTCACTGAGGATAGTGGATCATGCATGCTATGTTGCTTCGTAAAATACAAGTTCCTTACGTCAGGAAGACAACCCTATCTCGCAACTTAAAAGAAAAAGGCACACGGCTAATTTCTATGGGGTAGGAACACCGACTGTCAATCTTGAGCTACAGTTCTGGGAACCAGGAAAATTTCTCTGTTCTAACATGTAGCCAACGGCCACGATGCTTCTACCATTTGTTTAAAATCTCGAAATTACTAAACTCACTCCACCATTAAAGGATCAAGTTTTAGCATGGAATTGTTTGAGAACCTAGAATATTGAAATGGGACTGGTTTATCGGCTTCAGTAGTTGTCAAACATTATCAGACCAACAGTTACGATAGTTTCGGTCTATTATTCAAGTTGCTAGTATTAGTGTTCGAAGAGAATATGAGTGGGGTTTGTCACACCCCTTTACAAGAGCTACACCTAAATAATACACAATTAAGCGTAGAACAAGTGCTCTTTGACTAGATATCTGGGAATTTTAATCCTTTTTATTCTTGTTTAAGGCAGAAAATGCTAAACTTTAGAGCATTAAATAAACTTAGAGAGGTTTCTTGTCCTTATTTAACTTTGCCTTTAATCTATTCCTAGGCAATAAAATGAGATATACATCATGGATTGAGGTGGAGAAATTGATGACGGAATTAGTGGCGCGAGAAACCATCAATTAGTTAAGGAAGCATAAACATTTGAAAGTTGGCGAATCATATCATTGTCTCTTTATTGAATTGGCTGATCTTCCTCCTCTTTGGTGAACCCTTCATATATGTTTATTACTGTTTTAAATTATCTATAAAACATATTCTCGATTGCCGCCTAATCTTAATCTTAATCTTAATAGATAGATTAGCCTATAGTTTCCATCATCTTTATTAAATGATATTAGTACTTATATAGTAGCATAAGACTGCAAAAATAGTATATATCTATATGTTGTTTTTATCGGGAATAATACTTGCGTCCCACTTTTGGTAAAACCTCTTTGATCTCATTTAACTGATTTTTCTTAGACGAACCGTTTTATGAGGAGTGACAATGAAATGATTTCTGAAATAACGTTACTTAAGGTGCAACTTTTAGGGCTAATTGTGTTTTATAACAATTTCAAGTATGTCCTCAATGATGCGAAATCACACAAAATGATATAATTATTTGATCATTTGATTAAAAAACAGTCGTTTTAATGTTTTCGTACGTAACCATGTATGTCAATATAGTTATCTATGTAAGATCATGGTATTTTTAACTTGAAATTATTGAGTAGGAATTTGGATAGTGGACTGGATATATAGTTCAATATCGTAACATGATTACAACAAATTTTCACCAGCATTCGTTTAATTTGGCCACTTTGAATAATTTAAGTGGTTTTCTTGGTCACTGTCTATGCCTTTTTTAGTTTGAAAATTAAAAAGTTCAAAAGTAAAATTAGTATAAACATTTCCACTAAATTAAATCAGAGTAAGTGGTGGCCACCCCTTTACTGGCAGCAGCAACATTAGTGGATGCTCACCTTGTTAACTTATTATTTGTTTGCACATGATGACACATATAGGCTATGCTTTCAACCATTAGATTATATAGATTATGTTTTCAACCATTAGATTATACGTAGTAGTATAATCAAATAAATATGACTATATGAGTACCACACCAAAATGTGCTATTCGGTAAACGGACCAATGTGATGACTGATGATCTAAAGTAAAATAAATAAATGGACCAATGTGATCAACCGCATCATAATCGGTAATTCCACTTTCTTTTCAATGTTTTAAACGAAATATTGAATCCATGCAGATAGCTATATCTATTTTCGATTATGTAAACAACACTTGGACCCTGACAAGTAAGGAAATATCATCCTTACACTTGTAAGGTGTCGATGAACTATTTATTTTATTGCTAAATGGTTTTATAATGAAACATCGTCTTCCTCATTGATATTACAATATTATTAGACTAGATTTAGGACTTGAGCATTTTTCATTGTTGTCATGATGATTATTTTTAGGAGAAATTAGGTTCTCATCCCTCTTTCTTATATTCCATTGATTAAAACCTTATTTCTTTGCAATTTTTTATCAAGGTCCTTAGGTTTTAATGAGTGTCATTATTTCAGTAATAAAATATTTACATATTAGCAAAATTAAATTAAATTTCTAAAATATATTAATTTAGTATTAGAAACGTTACGTTTGGTATATATATATATATTTATGGCTATACTTTGTAACATATACTTTTATTTTTGGTTTGTACCCAATTTTAATTTGCAACCCTTTTTTGAATCTGTACTAAATTTCTTTTTGGTTGTACCCATATATTAATTACTTTTTGTGCCCTTTTCTTTCAAAGGTTTATATGTAGTCTAGGGCTTTTTTTTTATTTTTTTTGGTACCCATTCTACTATATAAATGTACCACTTCTTTATATGTAAAATGTACCATTTTTTTTTTTTTTTTATGTAAAATGAACCCAATTTTTAATGTAAAATCTATAAATTTACGCCTTTTTCAATTTCAAATGTACCCTTATTTAAAAATATAAAATAAAACATTTTAGTTTGTGAAAAACTAAAAAAATCCGATAAGTGTAAGACGAATTATCAATCTTTGTAAGATTATAGGGAGAAATTAATACTAAAATTTAATATTTTGTCTTTCAATTAAAGTATTCAAATTAATAAAATTTTATTCTAAAATTTTGGTATAATAAAATTTCAATCAAAATAATGTATCCATATGAATTTTTGGGTACATTGCTATACAACTGATTTACAATTTTTTAACACTATGGATACATTCTTTTGCTATTTATGATTTCATATTATTACATTGTTTTTATTCATTTATTCAATAAAAAATTTTGAAAACTTTTTACTGTAGCCATTTCATATTATTACATTGTAATATAATGAGGGACTTTAAATCTAGAATTTATATGCCAAATATATATATACACACACAATATGGGATTATAAATCTCACAAATGTCAAACATATAGAAAAATACATATTAATATTGATATAATGAAGTTTTCAAAGTCAAGGGACTTTGATTAAAAAAAAAAAAAATTGAATACCATTAAAGTTTTAGTTAAAGAGTGTTAGTGATTAGGGACCGAATCCAAAGTCTTTCTTATTTTTATTATTAATATGAGAATATTAGGTTCGGCTATGTATCTTTTTGATAGACCACTTAATGGTTTCGATGAAGTTAATTTTCTAGATAATGAAAGTTTAGATCAATATAGTATGTAGATTTATAAAATAAAAATAAAAAGTGTCTTTAATTAGATACAATTTTATGCACACTTTGTTAAACTTCGTAATTAATGTTCTGCCATAAATTTGGGCAATTTCTTCAGCTGCAAAACATGGTCTTCAATTCTTGGGAGGATTGAAATTTTACCGTCTGGAATTTATCCATGTGTACTTTGGTGGGAGAACTATATATACCTTCCAAAAGAAGTGATTCAAATTAGAAAGTAACTAATTCATTGAACTATGTATGCAGGAGTGTGCCAACTTAATGGTCTAGGCGAAAGGGATAAGCCCAACATGAAAGAAATCCTTGTTTCCTCATACAATACCTTGTTAGCTCCCAAGGTGAAAGCTGAATGCTTGGACAATACCACTGCAGCAACAAAAGAAACGACTTACGTTCAGAGCCATTGTTCAAAAGAGCAGAGAACAAGTATTGGTGATAGTGTTTCCACTTGGTTCAACCAATTCCATATTTTGCTGCAAAGAAGCCTCAAGGAACGACAGCATGAGTCCTTCAACTCGCTGCGAGTTTTACAGGTAGTGGCCGGTGCATTGCTAGCTGGTCTAATGTGGTGGCAATCAGATTATTTAGATATCCAGGATCGTTTAGGCCTTCTCTTCTTCATTTCTATATTTTGGGGAGTCTTACCTTCTTTCAACTCGGTATTTGCATTTCCCCAAGAACGTGCCATCTTCATTAAGGAGCAGGCCTCGGGTATGTACACTCTCTCTTCGTATTTCATGGCTCGAATGGTCGGAGACCTACCGATGGAGCTTATTCTTCCTACAATATTTCTTGTCATGGCTTACTGGATGGCTGGATTAAAAGCCGACATGGGCGCTTTTCTATTAACATTGTTGGTTTTACTCGGCTATGTGCTAGTGTCTCAAGGGCTTGGCCTTGCTTTAGGCGCGGCAATCATGGATGCCAAACAGGCCTCCACGATAGCAACAGTGACAATGCTAGCTTTTGTGCTAACCGGAGGATATTACGTGCATAAGGTTCCGTCTTGTTTTGCTTGGCTCAAATATATTTCTACTACCTTTTATAGTTATAGGCTGCTAATCAATGTCCAATATGGGGAAGGTAGTAAATTATCATCCCTCTTGGCCTGCTCATCTCATGACCATGATCATGCAGGTGATCACAAAGCAAGCTGCAAGTTTGTCGAGCAAGATGTCGTAGGGCAAATTAGCCCTGCGACGAGCGTATGTGTCATGTTGTTTATGTTTTTCGCATATAGGTTAGTGGCTTACCTTGCATTGAGATGCAGTAAAGTTTGAAATAATTCATACAATAATTACTTGCATTTGGATTCCTTGTTCTTCGAAAGACCTCTTTAGTTGTAATTCTCTGAAATGGATGAATTTATTTTTCTCTGTGTTTGTTTGTACAAGTTGATAGATCGTATGTTAGCAACACTGTAATCATTCAATGGGATCGACGAAATGCAATAATATAGCAATCTTGTATATCTTAAAATGTCATATACTAATGAAGTTACATTGATGAATTAATTCATATATGTTACATTGTAGTTTATTTTTTGGTCAATACATATTTTAAGCACCTTAAAGCAAGCGATCTGTTTTATACACAATTCAAACTTTAGCCATACCACAAAGAGAAAGGTCATTCCGAATGTGCATGCGTAGGCTCCAAGGTTTTAAATGAAGCTGCGAGATATATCTATATATGGATTGAGGGCTTCCTTGCTTTCACCAATTTACGAATAAGCTATTGCTCTCCGATGCAATGGAAATTTTTTGGTGGAATAACTAAATCTTGGGGGCAATGGCCTATGTAAACAAAAACAATTTAGTTACACACCTGTCATTACTATACGCGAGACAGTATTACTATTGTTGGACATATTTGAAGTGCGATGAATATATACTCCAAATTATGTCCCAGAATATTTAAAAACATTGCTACTGCTTCTTTGACATAGATACTCTCAGCAGTCTCGCTAAGCATGTGATCCTGCTTGCTTTTGGTATTCCAGAGAAGCAAATCTTAATCGACCCTATGTTTGAAGGGGAGTGGATTTGAGAGCGAAAAATGAATGAAAGAATGCCAAACAGGCCGATCATTCCGCTAGCATCTTGCATTCGCGCCTCTGTTTGACTGGGCAGCCCAAGCCTAACCCATCCCAGTCTGTTCTAACGCAACTTACCCTTTCTTTCAAGACTTGGACCAATTAAGTTTTGAAAACACATACTTAGCAACTCGAAGGTACACAGCTTTAGTTCGATTATGTAACCTATTTACATATTATCGTCTTTGCTAATCCCAATCAGTTAATGACTCTCCGCTACGAAACCAGCAACAGTGCCAAGTTTGTATTGTAGCTATAACTGTAATGATGGTACCCAAAATAATCTTAATTTCTTCTTCATGTTTATGTGGAAACCTATATTTACAAAATATACGTGAAAACTATTACATTATTATTATTTTTTTCATCTAAAATGGTTTTTGAGATTGACATAATTCTTTACTTTGGTCTTTGAGATTTGAAATCGATAGAAGTGGTCCATGAGTTTGTCCACCATCAATTATTTTGCTCATTCCGTAAAAAAATCTTCACTAAATAAGGATAAAATAACAAAAAAATCCTCAATTTTTGTCAAATCATTTTGGACCATTGTTTCTTAAATTGAGGGTATTTTTGTGATTTTGGTCCTAATTTAACATAAATTTTCACAGAGTGGCCTAAATAATTGTTGGTGGTCAAACTCAGGGACCTCTTCTATTGATTTCAAATCTCTAGAACCAAAGTGAGGAGTTATGCCAATCTTGGAGACCATTTTGGCTAAAAAGCCTTTATAAAATAGAAAACTAGATTTTTTTGAGCAAAAATAGAAAACTAGTTTTTAATCTCTAAATAAGATGAATTTAGATTAATGCTTGGTACAATATTCAAAATTGAGTTTAGTCCCTTGGTTCTATTTAAATGTTAGCATTTATATTCCATGTTGTGGAGCAAAAAATAATTGAGAAAAATATGGAGGTGTCACGTGGATTCTAGGGTTAAAAGGACAAAATTACCCTCGAAGAATACCGGAACTCCTACGCACGAGCAGTGGACAATCATGACTCAATCAAGGTCAAAAGTGCTCAAAATAGGTAATTATTCAAAACATATTTCAACCATCCTCATCAAATCTTCTCCACAAGGTAACCTCCAAATCATTTCTTTCAAATTATATTTAGCTAATTAATTGACTCATTACCCAATTAATTTATTAATTAGCTAATAAATTGTGAATCACACCCAAAAAACCACCCAAGTGGCCGGTCCCCATTTCTCCTAAAGGGGCTGGCCACACCCCTATAAATATCACCTATTTTCTCCAAAAACCTAAATTCAGCACCCTTGCAAAATTCTCTAAATTTTCCAAACACATTTTCCTCAAAATTCTAACTTTGGTATCGGAGGTTCTTTGGCCAAAGCCCCCTCCCCCTAAATTCATCGTGGGCATGTGAGGCTCTTGGCCTTGACTAAGGTGTTAATTGTTTTGTAGGTGCAATTTTGTCCAAGAAGATGAAGGTGGAAATTTGCATCCACAAATTGGTGTTTTCATTGAGAGTCTTGATCAAACACTCGTAGAAGACTCTATCATTCAAGGTTTTTCATTTTCTTATTCATTTGTAGATTTTTCGTACGTTCTTATTCTTGGAATTTTTATTTCTAAAAATTCTTTGATAAAATGTAAAATAAAAGTACAATGGTAAGAGATTCGAAAACTTCGACGAACGGAAATTCCAACGTTCAAGGATTAGGACCGCAATGATCTACAAGGTTCAACACAATGATGAATGGAACGGTGCCACCCCCACGGGGCACCACTGTGGCAACCACCACGGCAGCCACCCTTGACAAGGTTCACGGTGCCACAACCACGATCCAAGTCGTGCCACTTCAACCTTTAAGGCCCAAGCTATAGTCAAGCCGACCTCAGCCGCTTAAGCTCAACACATTGCCAAACCGAGCCCTAGCCTCGCACCCACGTGCACCACACGCTGATCAACCTACTCCTATGGCCTAGCTTGTTCCTGTGGCTTTCCAAGCAGCCCAAGTTGGACCAAGATTAGTTCAACCATCTCAGCTTCAAATTTCAGGACCTAAGATCGAGCCTCAGGCATTTTCACCACATTTCTCTACGAATTTGACATTTCCTAACTCAAATCTCGCGCCCAGAGTTTACCGTCCCTTCCACTGCTTAAGGAGACGCATTCCTTTTGAGCTCTTTCAATCCAAATAACGAACATCACTTGTCTTGACAAGTCATAAAGTTGATGAGTGCCTTTGCACAACAGATGACGTTGGTGAATCAACTCTTGCTGCTCATCAAGATCCAACGTGCCCCAGACAAGGTGTCCCAAAATAGGACAAGGGCAGACGAAGAACCTTTCTAGCAGCATCTTGGCAAGTAGCCACACGACCAGCCACGAACCGAGTGTTCGAACAGTGTACACTCCTGACTAGGCCTCTAAGATAATGTATACTCCAGTCTAAGCATGTAGAAGAGCATGTACTTTCGACTAGGCCCACGGACGAGTATACATTCACAGTTGGGGCCACACTCTAATAATCAACATGAGCAGCCTTCTAGGCAAAACTTTCATTCACGACTAGGCCCGCAAGGAGCATTCTTTACATCACATCGGAGTAGGCAACATAACAGATGGAAAGAAGCAGTCACTCAATCCGGCTCAAGTTCTACTGGTAACCTATGAAGAATTCCTTCGCCTGCCAGGAACGGACCACATGTATCGCCACCGCCACCTAAACGAGTCGGGCACATAGAAGAACAGCCTATATCAGCAGGTCAAGATCGGGGATAGCTGAGAGTTCTGTTACCCCGACAAAGACAAATTCAGGAAGAGGTAGAGAGGCTCTTAAACGAGCGATTGCGTGATTTCCAACGCAATGAAATGGTTGATGAAGCACTACGAAAAAACATAATCAACATGAGCAGGCCATCATTCACAGATGAGATCGAGCAAGCAGAGCCTCCACGTAAGTTTAGTATGCCACATTTCATATCTTTCAAAGGAGATAGAGATCCGAAGAGGCACTTGAAGCACTACCGAAGCACAATGGTCCTTTATCGGAACAACGATGCTCTTATATGCAAGATATTCGCCACCACTTTACAAGGCGAGGCACAAGATTGCTTTCACACCTTGCCACCACGATTCATCTGGAGTTTTGATGATTTTTCTTTGGTGGCTTTAGTTTTCACCAAAGAATACTCATCCTACCTCTTGATCAAGAAAAAGTCTGACCACTTGTTCAATGTGAAGAATAACCCAAAAAAGTTGCTTCGCGACTACGTGAAGAGATTCAAAGTAGAGAAGGCGAAGATAGTCGGATATGATGACTCAATAGCAACTACAACTTTCCAAAAAAGATTCCCAACAGACTATCCACTGTTCGAAAAGTTGTTCATGAAAGAAGATCTAACTCTGGCAGATTCTTTTATTTTGGTAAAGAAACATACACTTTTGGATGAGGCTTGACAGGTAGACAAGGCACCCAAGCAGCCTCAAAAAGAGTCAACAATGGCTCAAAAGAAGGAGGATGGGAAACAGTCAGGCAAAAACAGGTAAGAAGCCAAACATAGGGACCGACCCACAACCAAGGAAGGCCTAACGGCCAATAACTACTATAAGTTCTCAATCCCTATCCTCCAAATCCTTCACGACATGAAGAACGAGCCATGGCTCAAGCTGTTGAAACAATCAAAGGGAGATACTTCTAAGTTGGATCACACCAAATACTACACATTCCATCGAGGACTCAGTCACACAACCGACGACTGCTAAACTTGGAAGAATTACCTAGAGAAACTCGTAAAAGAAGGTAAGGTTGATAAATACTCGGACAAGCCAGTGACGCAGCCCAGAAGGAACGCAAATGACTACGAAGAACCACTAACTAAGACAATTCGGATCAATAGAATCTTCGCCAAATTTGAGCACTTGGAGGCCAACAACTCCAAAAAGAGGAAGATCCAACAGGCTTTACTAGTCTCACAAGTCCAAGCAGTCAACAGCTAACCTGGCCTATTGTTGGCTTCACCGGGCAAGATACAGAAGGCGTCGACTTTCCACACAATGACGCACTAGTTGTATTTATCCAACTAGCTCATGCTATAGTCGATAGAATGATGGTTGACAATGGAAGTGCATTCAACCTACTTTAGTTCTCAGTCATTCAAAAGATGAGTCTGGAAAGCACAATCATATGCCAAGTGGAGGTACTCACCAGATTCAATGGGCACACATTAACTGTTATCGGCCATATTACATTTGACATGAAAAGATTGGCATTTGTCTCAAAGTAGACGTTCACAATTGTAAGTGACCCATCTTTCTACAATGGGTTTCTTAGTAGACCTTGGCTGATCAAGCTGGATGTCGTCACTTCCGTCAAGTATAAAAAAATCTTATTCAGCATCCCAG